AATTTCTCAGCCGGATGACTGTGCAATTACCGATATCTCGGTTATATAGCAACCGCGCCCCCGGAAAATTCCTATTTCAGAGCGATAAATCAGTTTTCCGTTTATTAAAACGCCCCCCATGACACCTTCGATCCACGATCGCCCCTTATGTTATGGCGTTGGCGAAAATAATAATAATAATCTTTATTATCCACCCACAATATATATTTTATTCCTACAAATACATATATTTTTGCACTTTCAGTATTATAATAATATCTGAGAAGAAACTGCCGTATACTAAGCAGAGCATATGTTATGGGTATTAGATAACTCATATAAATACTTAGATACATTTTTTTTAAATACATATATAATATATACAGAAAACACATACAATACAAACATTCATACTCATGAATAAAAATGTTTGGGACCGTGCAAGGAACCGAACCCGCTACTAAGCCGCAGGGCAACTGAGGCTGTCTAGGTTGTCTAGTATACTAAGAAAACACGTGGTAAGCAGCGCCCGCGGATTCATGGGCGTGAAGTTTAAAGCCTACATGTTATTCTTATGCTTAAGCTATATAACTGTAAAGTTTCATCACATTCCGCTTCAGTAGTTTATGAGTGAAAGAGTAACAAACATCCTTCCATCCATACTCACAAACTTCCGCATTTATAATATTACTAAAATCAATAGACAATCCGCCATTGTGTATCAGTAAGACATATTTTGACGGAGAAGGGAAGAATGTTTATAATATAATTCATTCCTCAAATTAAAGGTAAGAAAGAGAAAACATAATATGGAGTAACAAAATAAAGAAACAGAGAACTATAGAGAAACAACAGAAAAACGTAAAATAAGCAGAAGAAGAGTAAAATACAAGTTACAAACTTAAATAACATTCCCGTAATTTACGTTTGATCTTAATCTTATATATAAAATTGTCGTGTCACCGTTTTCGTTCCCATACTCCTCCGAAACGGCTTGACCGATTCTCATGAAATTTTGTGAGCGTATTAAGTAGGTCTGAGAATCAGCCAACATCCATTTTTCATCGCCATAAATGTTAGGGGTAGTCCACCCCTAATTTTTTTTTATTTTAAGGCAAAACAACGTTTACCGAGACAATTAGTATTATCTAAAATAATGATTTCAGATATTACAACATCTAATAGGGACTGTGAAAATAATGAATTACAAAGTGATGATTCACCAACAAATCTACCATCATTAATTAATGTACAATGATATTAAAAATATCTTGAGGGGTCAACTTGAGAGATGAATGCTTCTACTGGGGCGTTTTTAGTATTTATGAGTTCCGTATCGAAACGTATAAACCTTTTTCTTCAACCCCAGCATCTGTGGTTCATTTACGAATAAACATATATATGTACGATGCAAAATCCATACAAATATAATGAGTGGATTTTGCTAATTATTATATTTGTATGGAAAATATAATAATTAGCAAAATCCACTCATAAAAAATAGTATTATAATTATTATTATTTTTTTTTTTAAATAGAGACATATTTTTCTTTCTATATATTTGTTACCCTGTCAGGAGTATGACTAAATATCTTATAATGAAATTTGACATAAAACTAGATTGTAATACAATGACGGATATAGACTATCCTATATCGGAAGAAATAATCTAAAAAGGGATGAAATATGGGATGAAAGTTTGAGCAGACAACAGTATCAATATAGCAGCAACTATGATTTGTAAATATATGAAACAGCCATGGCTTGATGAATTGATGAATGAATGAATGAATGAAACTCTTTATTGTTCCTCTCACAGAAAATACAATTATGTATAAAATGATAAAAAAATATAATACAAAAAACAAGACAAAGAGGTAACAATGGGCGGCCTTATCGCTAAAAAGCGATCTCTTCCAGGCAACCTTATTGATTTGGTTTATAATCCCGGCTATAAACCGAATCTGGATAACATGAAAAAACGCGTATCAATTTATTTATGTCACACGGATTTATTTTAAAAAGCCTATTTTAAGTGTGTAAAATTGTGAATGTCTGTATAGACAAACTGGATAACAGTCAATGTATTACAAATTAAAAGTTATTAATATAGTTAAATGAGATTTAACATGAATAATTTTATTGTAAATATAGATATACCTCTCTCGACGATTCAACTAGGTTGCACTAGACGTGGTCACGAGCTGACTGGAGTAATAGCGTGTGTCAACGTTGATAGGTGCCGGCAGTTTATTCAACTACCGTCATTAGATTGTCAGACGAAAATCGCGGCACTCAGTCCTCACGGTATCAGTACACTTATTTACTCATACTACCGAACTTTGTTTAAATTTATTACTTCCTGTATTCCACGCAGATGATAACTTTATACCGTCTTCTTGGTTAAAGTTACTTACTGGTTTACTGGTAGAGTGTTAAATTAGTCATATATATTGTATTTGTGCATTAAAGTTAAAAGAAAGAAATAAAATTGGGGTACTTTAATTCCTGTTAAATAATGTGATACTAATTAAAAAAAAAAGAAGTAAATTGAAAGTAATAGTCATATTTTTTATATTGTAAATAATATTTTTTTATAAGGCAAATGTATCTACGGAACTCTACTGATATTAGTCCAATGCGTTCTTTCCCACTCTGTAATCTCCACGCCCTAATGTTGGGGACATCGGATAAACACGGTTTAATGTTGTTTGCAAAACAGCATAACACAGATAAGAAGATAAATAGGTTTTCTTTCTGTTTGAAATTGTATAGTAAAAAAAATTTAAATTAAAAAAGAAAGCAAAAAAGAGTTTGTAAACTCAAATACTGTATCTAATGAACATTTTATTTTCGTCAATATATTAGTTTTCTTATGTAATGAAAACTAATATTACATAATTAGGTACTATCATACTTTTTTTTAAAACTATAAAATAAAAACAAACTTGTTGTTTATATAAATGTACCATCAAGACGCTTGTTCAAGATGGGAAAGTCAATTGTCCCGTCATTTTATTGCATTCTCATCTTTAGTCCTACACTCTTGACAGAGTGGTCGTGGCTTTCATGATGGTAATAATTATAAATACCCTTGGAATTGTCCAACTAGATGGCGGGGTGTGAATTGTCACACCCCACCATCTAGTCTCAAGCAAAAGAAGAGCTTGTGTTTTGGGTACTAGACAACTGATAGATTATACTTTTTTATAAATATATATATAATGTACAGAGAAAATGCCCAGACCGATAGAAAAAATCACACCCATGAATATAAATGAAACTAAATTAGTATCATAATAATTATTTGATTTACAAATATCTCTCTAAAGAATGAGAATAATAAATAGACAAATCCCAAAATCACCATGACAAAATCCGCTAGTCCCTCCAAACAATTAATTATACTGTCCCACGCAAAAATCTCGATTTAAAAGCCGATATGAATGAAGTCTCCAAGCCAAATAATTTCACAGTGGAAAAGCACAATATCTAATCTGCGTTGACAAAAAGAAAATTAACAGCACAATGGGAAAGCTAAATGAAATATCACTTGTACAACAAGAGTTTTTGATGGAGGGGTAGAGATCAGAATAGCACTCCAAATATTTCAATTACACAACTGTCGGTGACAAAGGTTTGCTCGTGGTCGATTTTTATTCTGTCGCCGTAAATAAATCGTCAAGCGTGAGTCTAATTCATTCAAGTTTAATTTCTTTTTAAAAATGTTTTCTTTTCTATAAATATAAAAAGTTTTTAGTTATAATGAAAAAACTATTATATATTATGGGCAATAGAATGAGTGGATGGACAATAAATTATGTTACACTCTTAGAAACTGTTAACGAAGACATTCGCAATTGATGCAAAAATTAGTATATGACAATTTGTAAATATTTTGTATTATATATGACTTGACAATGACAATCATGACTATTAGTTGAGTCATTATTGCAATGAGTGGCAACAAATAAATTTTAAATTACATTCAAATCTTACTAATATTATAAACGTGAAAGTTTGTGAATAAGGATGGATATTTGTTACTCTTTCACACAGAATCTACTGAACAAATCTTGATGAAACTTTGCAGTAATATAGCTTTTAGAATTAACATTAGGGATTAGAATAACACATAGGCTATAATTTAAAAAGATGTTATGTAAATTGGGCGAAATATAATCATAAATGTCAAGTAGTCAAACAGACGAAGTTGTACGTGTCTGCTAGTATAATATAATACTATCTACTAAATGTTATTATAATTTATATTATATACTAATTGATAACTGAAAATTATATAAACTAAAAATAAAACGTAATTGTTCTTCCTATATGACACCACAAGGGAAATTAAATTAACTTGTCGCTTCTAATATTATTTTAGGTTCAATTCTGTATTTTAATTAAATGCATATTAATTCTCAAGAGGTGAACTTAATTAAATGTTGTGCTTAATAAAAATAGCATCCAATATTTAAGAAGTAATATATTTTAGGGTTTAATTAACCCTAAGGTGCTATTATGATCCCCAATATTTAAAATTAGAAGGGGTCGACATAAGTGGCCCAGCGTCATCATGGTTGCAGAAAACTGCTCGCATATTCCCCTAAACCCTGACAAAAGATGAACAGCTGATTGGTAATATTTTCCCCAAGAAAAAAAATAATCACCAATATTTGTGTAAGTTTGTTTTAAGAACGGAAGTTTTTATAAAAAAAATTCCGTTAAAAAACTCAATTGTTAATAATTGGTAATTGAAAATTGCTGTATATAAAAATTCTACACTCTATATTTGAAAATTGGCAATTAAAAAAGAAATAATTATATAACATAAAACCTTAACAGTATATGCGTAAAAGATATGGTTAAAAATATAATTACCTATAATGCGTTTTGTTATTAGGTGTTCCGTGTTTTATTAAATTTTTTTTATTCAGATAATTTTAACGAAGTCATTATAATATATAAAAAAATATACCTTAATTAATTTGAAATTTTTATTTATTTTTTTGCAATTCGAATGTTCCATTCTATATTCAAATAATCTAAAAAATGGTTGTTTTTTGTTTTAAGTTATCCAATCCGAGCAGGAGAAGGGCATATTCCATACTGCCTTGTTGAAAACTTTAACATTTGGATACCGGTATACACTTTCCAGTCTTCAAATCTCGTACAGTGGGGACATTGCAGAAGCAATCAGGAATGTCACACGCTCCTAAAGAGGTCGGCAAGTTATTGACGTCAGGGTTGTCACATGATGGTTCTTCGACGCGTGGACAGTACAGCACTGAGTGTTCGCCTGGTGGGCATTGCTCTATAGAATAATACAAATAGTTACATAACATTTTTTTTATAATAGTATTTATTTCCCCCCCCTGGAGATAATTTTTCCAAACATTCTTTAGCACTATATGTATAAAAATTTCATAGTAATTCCTCTAGCCATTTTTACATGAAATAATAACACACAGACAAACAGATAGTTTTGACTTCGTCACGATTTCCCGCATTTATTATATGTAAGAAAGTACTCACTCGTAGGTATGCCCTGTCCATTAACAAACACGAAAACAGTTGCTAATAAAAATACAATTGTAGAATTCATTTTACAAAAGAAATCGTCGCACGATATATTATCTCAAAATACACACAATTAATGGTGTATTGTTCAACAATACACTACGTTTTTATACTTTGCTTATAAGTAAGTCGGGGGAATAACTTAACACAAGCATTACTAACGCGTTTATTATCCGCTGTTTTCCTCCTAAGAAACAAATAAGCAAATAAAATTAATTAGGTATGTAAATTTAATGCATACATTTACAATTCTCTGGCTGTCATCGATCAATGGGGTTAAGCATTTTAGGTGTGGTCATAACTTGGATGGGTGACCGTTTGGTACACAAATATTTAATTAAAGCGATTCTGTGTTTTGGACTGCTTCTACTTTGTGACTGTAATATATTTCTGGCTTAATCAGCAAATCCGGACGGTATGGTGACGTCACTATTTCCATTCGCCTTAACCTCATCCCAATGACCACGTTTATAAAGTGCATGTAGGAACTGTTATGACTTTCATTGATAAATATTTAATTTTCCTTGACCGTTTATGTTATTACTTTATTATTTATGCTATAATAAATAGGTTATATCCCTTTTACAGCCACCTGCTTAGTAATATGAGAATGACATTGTTATTAGATAAGAAATCATTTAGAATATAATTGCAAACTCAAATAACTTAATAAATAAACTAAACTAACTTGACAAATATTTAACTGAATGTACGCAGACGATTTTGAAAAAAATCATCTTGTGTCTCAGTTACTTCAGCCACCAAGCACTACCAACCATCCTAAGTACTTTATTAGAGTTTCGTAGGTACACCATGTGTTTTATGTTTTTTTCGTGATTAAAAATCTCACAATCCCCCTTGTTATACCTCTAGCAGGGCACTGTCTTTGTGAAAGTTATGACAATATACATATAAGTAATATAAATAACCCTGGAAAATCAACATAGCACCATCTAGTCCCACGGTAAGTAGAGCTTGTGTTGTGGGTACTAGACAACTGATATAAATACTTAGATATATTTTTTATACATAACATACATAGAAAATACCTAGACTGATACAAACAATCATACTCATGAATACAAATGTTTGTACCGTGCGAGGAAACGAATCCGCGACCATCGGAAGAAAAGCATCTATCCATATCCTATACCGCTAGACAACCGAGGCCGTCAAAATAAAAAAAAGGTTAGACTAAAAACAGGCCTATAGCAAATTGGAATATCTTGATCGCAACTAAGTTATTTTATAGCCAAATTTTATTAAATGATTCTATCAAATTTGAAGTAACCATGATTAGCTTTCGGAGTAAAAATTTCTTACTGTCAAAAAAAGTTTGAAACATTTTTGATAATAATAAAGAATAGGTTTGCATAATATATAACATAACAAGGGCATATGATACACAAAGGTCGTGACTTTGAATCTAGCCAACATCAATAAATAGTCAAATTCTATCAAAATAAATAATGATAAAAAACTGACAACTAACTAAATACCATATTCGATTCCTCGCATGATTAGTTGTATTCATAAGTATGTTTGTTTGTACTGGTAGATACAATAGTATAAAAAATATGTTGTAAAATATTAGAAAAAGAAACTTAAGTATTTCTTAACAGTTGTTTAGTATCTACATAAAACATAAGCTCTGCTTAGCTTGAGAATTAGAACCTGTTTATCAACGAATGGAAAGTTTCATTTAAATATACTCAGCGAAATGTGGATATGTCAAATGTTGCGTGAGATATTGATATAGTTATGCATAAAGTGTATATTATAAATACCTTATAGACGTACATATGCAATCATTATAAAATATATATTCACATAGTTTTTGTGGTCCCGGCATTGATGACGGCAGTCTATCACGGTAGCGTCGAAACACCACAACTTCGGCCAGTAGTGGCAGCACTCCTTCATAAAGGTGGACAGCATGTTGGTAAAGACTCGGGCCACAAACGCATTGAAGCTCGCGTTGTAACTCGACTCCAGCTGCGTCATCCTCAATTTCAGGCTACTCCTGGTCCCTATATAGTCGACAAAATCCTATTCCTTTTATATTATGTTTTATTTTATAGATTGTAAATTAGTTTATATGTTTTAGTATATTAAACTTCCGAGCTCCTTATAAAACTTGAATTAGTGCTAAGTAACGATTAACATTAAATCATCGTCAAGGTTCATTCAGCCTCTGGAATTCAGGAATCTCCAAAAAGGGCCTTCTTTCAATTCCAATGGGCCATTTACGTGTCCGTAAAAAAGACCGCGCAAAAAAGAGTGCTACACAAAAAGTATTTGAGTTTTATCTCGTTTGTTTACCATTTCATGTTTACGAGATGTCATAAAGTTAATACCACCTTTTGTCCTTTCGTCTCGTAACGGAAACGGGACAAAGGAGGGATCGGGCGAAGTGTGTCCCGCAAACAGTGAACGGGTTCGAATTATTTGCTCATATATTTCATCTGAAACTTTTTGTCAACACGACAGCCTAAAAGGATTTTGTCACTTTTTGATCTGTAATAAAACCTCTATATTAGTTAAACTTGGGTACCTATGTTTTATGTCACTAGAATAGTAAACAGGGTAACAGTCCACCTGATAGTTATAATAATAATAGCTCAAGACAATTCACACAGCGCCATCTAGTCAAATGCTAAGCAGAGCTTTTGTTATGGGGACTAGACTTTCTTTTCTAAATACAGACATAATATTCATAGAGAAAATCCAAACAAACGTATTCCTGAATACAAATATTTGTATCGACGAGGAATCGAACCAGCGACCATGTGCTAAACCGCTAAACCACCGAGGCCGTGTTATCATGTGATACCCATGATGTACCGCTCTAGTGTTAGCATTTCGGGAGACTAAGATATCATCTTGGTATTCTTTTATTCCACCCTATAAACCGAAACACGTATGCTACTTGGAGGTAAAAAAAAGATGAGACTGAGGTACCCATAAAGACGACTTTGTACAAAGTCTGGGTAGGGGGAAGAGGATTGTTAGTAATGTGGACTAATAACCTTATTGCTAGCAATATAAGGTTAACCTCTATACGGTTCCCCCTTGAAGTCATTGTGACAAATTCCTAGTGAATTTGTCACGGTGGGTGATCGGACCTGACTTCATGCATGCTCATCCTACCACTGGTGCCCCGCAAATGTAAACCGTTAGCGCAGGCGGGTGCACCATTCCATAATCATCAAAAAAAAATCTAGCTAAAATCCACTAAAACCATCCTGTTGTGTAATTTCGAATTTTTACTTAACTCTTTTAGATATATTTCATTTCTCTGCTCTGAGAAAAGCAAAAGGTCTCTATATAGTAAATTTTCGCTTCGAAAGGCAGATTTGACGTTGGTTCCGACTGGTCATTGTTCGGAATCAACAGACTATGATGGATTTCAATGTGCTCAGTAAAATATAGGCCAGTGGAGTGTAATGATTAGGTACAATGCAATTTGAATTCAACGGTTTTCGTAATTAGGTTGATATGAACGGTTAATAATTTAATAATTATCACTGTTTACATTATCTAAAGTTTTAATCGAGACCTGACTGTTGCTGCCACTTTAAATAAAATATAAATTGAACCATAATACCTAATGTATATGTTAGACCTACAATGAGAGTCACTGGCAGTTTTTATATATACTTTTATCCATATTCAAAATATGATGTTCTTTATATAATTTTTATTTTAAAATACTTCTGTCACTGCGCTCTGCAATAAAAGACGTCTGTTCAAACATCTACCTATTTTCATTAATTTTTTACTGTATATCATGACATTGATGGTCAAGCTATTTAGCAAACGACAACAATTTTATTCATTCAAAAATTTGAATAAATGTGTAAAAACTCTTTATTGTTCTTCTCATAAAAAAAAAACAATTACATATTTATGTACGAACATAATTACAATAAGATACAGAGGAAATAATGGCCGATTTCTTCCATTTGTATTCATGAGTATAATTGTTTGTATTGGTCTCTTTTTGTTTTCTATGTATAAAATATTTCAGTATTTTTTAAATTGTTTAGTAACCATAACACAAGCTCTGATTAGCTTGGGACTAGATGGTGCTGTATCCAGGGTTATTTAAAGGGTAATTCTCTGGGTCGTTATAATTATTTAACACCTAGGTAACTCAGAACTTGTAAATAGTGAAGTTTTTTTAGTGGATGATAATGGAATGGTGTACATGCCAGTGCTAACGGTTTATGCAGCGAGGCACCAGTGGAGGGTGATAGGATGAACAGGATGTGTCAAATTCACAGGGAATTTGTCACGATTGTTTCCAGGGGGGACCGCGGAGGTCATCCTGACATGGTACATTTCTAGCAATGGAATCATTAGTCCACATCACTAATAATCCCCTCCCCCCCAATAGTGTGAAGTTAAATCTTTCCCGGAGGAACTCTAACTAGGGAATCTAAGGAAATAATACAACACCAGCATCTCTTTCCGAGGTATCCTCGGCTTTAGCCACGTGTTTAATAAGAGCACACAAGAAATTGTCATGTCGTTCACAGGTACGGAAAATTGCTGTGCTGTAATGGAATTTTTTACTTGGTTAGTAACCAGAGCTTACTCTACAAAAGATACGTGACTCTAATTCTAGATTTGTGGATGAATGAATGGATGGTTTTACGTAAAAACTACTGAATGGATTTTAATAAAACTTTACAGTACTATAGTTTATACACTAGAATAACACATATATAGACAGTAAATTTTAAGTAAATAAAGTCACAGGCGCAGCTACTAAGTAATATTTTAATACATAACCTTCTTCACATAGTATAAAACGAAGTTGCTTACGTTGTCTGTTCGCATATATGTATTTTTTAAATTACGCACCAGAACAAGTTAGCAGCATGTTGCTGTAATATGTGTGTTTTATATTTTTTTTTAAATGTATATTGAGATGTAACATTTCTGATGGGTGGTGGAATACTGTTCCAACATTTAGTTGCCATAGCTCATCAAATGTAGAAAAGTTCAGCTTCCAGTATTGATACTCCGGACTTTTAAATTTTATCAGACCAAA